GGTTGTGTAGTGGTAAGAGGGACATGGTGTTGACATACACCTTGATAGGATGAGCTGGGCAGGAAGTCCTATTTTGAGGTTATGGCTCAAATAGGCCCACAACATTGGGAAACTAATTTATCAGGTATCTGGTTTTGGGAACCTCCTCACCTAGGGTGGATTGGTCCTTCATGGGTATGATTTTGGTAGGTTGACACTATTGTTCCTTTATTGTAGTAATAATAGAAAGCTTATGGATGTTTCGAGGCGTGAAGGACTAACTTATTTCATTCCTAAAACCAAACAAGATATGTTCGGAGTTAGGATGAAATAATTTACTAATCACTCTATTCCTGCAAACCAAACACCGTAAATTTGCTACACGGTTTAGTGGTTAGGGCCTGCTAGGTTTGACTAAGGGTTGCTAAGGTTGGTTAATGGTTACCACATAATGAAAATTTATGGTATCTGCCTGTAATTTCATCACAGGGGGTGTTTGGGCTGAACCCTTATGTGCCTGCGAAGTCTATGTCACCCTTACTGCAGTTTGTGTAATATATTTCATGACATAATGCAAAATCACATGTAGTTGCCATTTTTAGAGCCTTTTATGTGATACCCCTTGTACAAGGGAACTGAGCCTAGCTCATCTGGTGGGAGATGTGGGTGTGCACCCCACCATCCAGGTTTAAGTTCTCTTCAACTCGGCATTTGGTGCTTATTTCTTCTTTTCTACAATGCCACCTAGTTCCTCCTAGGTTGGTTGATTTTTTTTATGCCCCTTGTACAGAGCAGAGTGCTCATACATGAGCATGCATTGTCTCTACTTTCTAATGTATTCCCACCTTTCAGTCCTGTTTACTTGCATAGATTCTATGTCCATTCTCTCTATTTTTCCAAACATGTTTCAGTATTGTATGAATTTTGTAATATGACGCATAGTTTTGGGGATTCAACTACTAGGTGAACAATTTGTTAATATTTTGCATCTTACAAATCTGTCCCATTCTGCATTTGGTCTTTTGAGTTTGAACATGGGACAATTCATGTTTTTGTTCCTTGATCCAATACATAATATTATCGAGATGCATATGCTACAGGGTTTCAGAAACCTAACTTATGAAGGGGCTCAGTTTAGTTGTATGCTGTGTGTCGTGTTACTGTTATTTGTAGCGTGTCTTGCTGAGGTGTGTTCATGTCTGTGGGTGGGTGGTGTGTGTGTTTTCTGAGAGGTGTCACTTCTTTGGAAGAGTTTGTGTTTTGGGACCAGTGTCTCTTTGTCTTCTATACAAACATATGCAGTTCTTCTGCATGTTTGAGAAAAAGAACCCTGACCCCCTGCTGCAATCTTTGTTTGTCATGTGCGAGCAACTTTGTCCCCAATTGGGAGGACTTTTTTTTGTGGACTTAGTTCATTTTTATGTTTGAAAGACTGAAGTTTTTTTTATTGATGCAGTTTGATGAGCAGAAGGATCAAGCTTCTGTTGAGAAGATCCTGAATGCTGTTTTCTTGGATGTAAATGGTCAAAGCCCTGTAAGCAAATCATAACAGCAATATTTTGTGTTTGTGATTACTTAGTTGGATACTGGAATTTAATAATCTCACTCGTTCATTCTTTCTCAAAGCAACTGGAAAAGGTCAACAATCAAATAGCTGAGGCAGAAGCTGCACTTGAGGCACGGAAGAAACCTCCAGAAGAAAATGGCCCAAAAATTGTTGGTGAAGGGCTCGTCATCGATGAATGGGTATTACCTCTCAGCTGACATGAAATTTTCTGGTTCCATCTGGTTCATGTATTTTGTTCAGTGCTAAGAGCCATTGTTCCATGTGTTCATTGCAGAAAGAGCGGAGGGAAAGGTACCTCGCGCAACAGCAAGTTGAAGTGGTCGATTCGGTGTAAATTGCATTCTACTGCTCCACATTCTATGCATATGGCTTCAACAAGGGCTGTGACATTCTTGTAAACTCTTAGGTTTCATTGTAGTGTAGTGTTTGTGGTAGTCTAGGGTTGTGCTTGCAGGATCAGAGTCCCCAAAGGACAAGCTAACCTCCGGTATTATCTGTACTTGCTCATGTAATTGTGGTAACAAATGTATTGTTGGGTGCTACTGCTGGATGCATTTGTTTGTCGGAACAAAATATAGCGTATAATTATTGAATCGGAACAGGTTAAGTTAGTAGGATGTTTGCTTCCAGTTTACTCCATTGGGTACTCCTTCATTTTAAAGACACATAGATTTTGCTATTGTATACATAGTTAAAGCAATGTATCTAGAAAAGCTAAAACGTCTTATAATTTTGAATGAAGGGAGTAGTATATAAGTGATGTCCTGATTGGGGTGGGCTGCATATTGGGCGGTCCGCATAAAATCCATTTGGGTTTCAAAAAACTTGTATAAAACCCATTGCAGTATTGATTCTTTTGTCATATTGATCTGTATAATCTTAATTTTAGGAAGGCAAAATTACTTCATTACATTTTTTTTCTGAGGGAAAAATTTAAGTCATTATTTTCGGCGCCCTTCTCATATTAATCGGTTTGATTATTACAAAATTTCCCACTCTACTTCTCTAGTTTGAGATCTGTCGATATAACGTTGCTGTTATGAGCTACTGATTCAGCTATTGCCGTAGTAATTTAGATTTGTAATCGGCCTTAAACTTCTTAATTCATAAACCACATTTCCAAGATTAAATTACACTGAACCACTATATCAACGACTACCAATCCAAGTGTTGCAATAGTAATGAAATATAAATGATCAGGTTCGAGCTTTAAACTTCATGTCCTTGGAACAGACGGCCTAAGATTAGAGGAAGAATTGCATAACGCATGCACTCAACCATTCACTATTACAGGTTTTAGCTACCGACCCTACTAGCAAACATCACTTGACTTCGTATAACTAAATTATAGAGAATTGTGAATCAAGTACGAAGCATATGAGCAAACGTAAACTTATGCTTAGCAAAGATCCCCGTAACCATAGTTTCCATGATACAACATTGCCGAGTTCATACTCTCCTATATAGTCTAGTTTTGCATTATAGAGACCAAAAACGAACCCAATGTGTACCCCTAATGACGATATGCATATAAGAGCACGGTCTTTGTCAAAGGCAAATATCATTTCGACACAACTATACAGTCATATTTTTCAAATAAATGAGGTGCACTTATTGGTGCATACACCCCCCGGCCCACTGGGGCAATTTGTATTGGTCTCCACTTGGATTTAAATGTTTGATAGTTATTTATTGCTACAAAACCAACATTGATCACTATCCCGTCCTACTAATTGCATTTAAGCAAGTCATTGGGGGGAAAATCACATATCTAAGTAGGAACCATTGAAATATGTTTCTGATTCAGAAAGGAATTACATCGATTGTAGCGTGTGAACATCACATTTTTGATAAGTGGTCACCTAAATTAATCTTCTTTTGGTTGTTAAGTTGCAGAAAGTTCACTTTCTGATTCAGTTCATTCCATTTGGTCAACTTGTCTACATATTGAAGTTCGACGGAAATATATGCTCAGAGCTATAGAATTAATAGATTGATATGCTGTGAATACAGGTCACTGTCAATGGTATTGTGCTAGGAGTAACAAGGCAAGGATCAGACGTCCTTATCAACACATTATTAGTGCTTCATCTAACTACCCTGCAAGTATTTTAATCGTTTGGATCACCACAAGTCACATAACACAACGGTTTGTCTCCTAATGCAATATAAAACCACATGATATTTATACCAGTTTATTCAATTGCGACATCCAAATATCCAATTGTTTGCAAAATGTAGGACATGACCAGAAAGCTACAATGATGATGTTGACGATGAGATTCGTGAGATCTTGTATATGCATATATAATATCAGCAAGGGATCTCAGTGTGTCTATGCACTTATCTGCAACCTGTCACTTTAATCATTGTTATTAATTGGTGACCCAACTACTCTTACTGCTCTTTTTAAAAGTTCATGTAGTTTTGAGATTCACCGGCACATTACTGACATCCAGTAATTATTTACTGTGGCCTTGGGTGCTAATTTGTCCTGTAATTAGCATATGACCATATGGGAGAGGTATACTGCCATATTATGACCAAGAGAAATCGCAGAAGTGCAGCAGGTTTGTCATGCCCGTTAGAGAGAAGTTTATCTCACTCAGCTCTAAGTTTGTAAGGATAAGTGGATAACCATCAGGTCCTGTCAGAGTATTATAATGTTTATCTTAATGCAGTGTCAGAAACAAAATACAAGAGCACATGCAGGAAGAAGGGCGTCGATTCTCGGTGGTTTCTTGCATCCTGCATATTCATAACGGATAATGCTTCAGATCAGAGAAGAAAGAACCTATCCATGTCAGTCGATGGTACTCTCTATGTGCATTTCATCTGAAGAACCAAAGAACCGCCTTCCTCTCAAGATCTACAGTCCCATATACTCCTAGGAATGTAAAAATGTTACAGGAAATTCACAGTATTCACATCGTTTCCACAGAATTGCTGCGTGCCTGCTGCCTGCGTTGCAGTTGCAGACGGGACTGGAAACTGGCGACCAGGATGAACCGACAGGGACGTTCACTCCTTTCAGAAACTGAAGTGCAGAACGGGACTGCTCTGCTGTGCAAGCAAAGCAAGTGACAGGTCCAGACAAGATGAACTGGATGCCGCAGATAAGACAAACCCTCTGCAACCGCAGTGTATATCCTCCAAATCAGATGGCCTCATCGGGAACCATTTGCAATGCCTGCGCGAGCTCCCTGTTTGACGAAACCAATGGTTCGCTCGGCCACCTGTTTTCCGAGCTGCCTGCAAAACCATTGGCCACTGACAAGTTGACATGAACGCACGGCACGTCAACACACGTAGTACTCCTTATATATATGGCTCATTCTGCTCGGCTCATTCCTCCATGTGCACTGACGTTCTTGAGGGTCACGCACTCACGCAGTATCACAGGCAGGGCAGCAATAGCATAGCACGTCGTAGTTTCGGGACGCAGAAAAAGAAGATGAGATTTGCAATGGCGAACAAGGCGTACATTGCGGTGACGCTAGGCGCCGCCATCGAGCTCAAGGAGCAGGTGGCCAAGCCCTGCTCCTCGTCGGCGAAGCAGGGCGCGTCGGTGCTCGCGGCGCTGTCGGCGGCGGCGGCCGGCAAGGTCGGCGGCGGCGCCGAGGAGTCGCTGAGGATGGTCATGTTCCTCAGCTGCTGGGGACCAACAAGCTAGGCTCTGAAGCCGCGGAAGGGGTGGGCAGTGCCGCAGCTGTATGTACATGGTTTGATCAACAACTGTACCTGGAGGTTGCTAAGCGGCCGGCAGGGAACATCTGCTATCGTTCTCGCCGAGCTAAGAGATCCATTGAACCTCGTGTTCTCAGATGGATTCTAAGTATGGTTTAACTTAGTCTGAATACTTATTATATCAAAGAGCTTCATTGCATACATCATGGAATGTATTTTCATAAGGACACTTCAATTGCACGGCCAGCCGTGCGTTAAGTGAGCCACACGGCTAGCTTCTTCCTCACGCCAGCGGCCCGCCCGCCTCCTCTCCGGCGCCCCTCCTCCGGCGTCCCACTCTGGCGCCCCTCCTCCACTCCGGCGCACTTTGCCCCTGCCGCTGCCCACCGTCCCGCCTTGGCACGCTAAGGTTTTGTCGGTGGTAGCCGGGGAGCTCCGGCGAAACCCCAGCGCGCCTGCGGCGGCCGCCTTCTTCCCCTCCCCCTCCTTCTTCCGCGGTGAGCTCCGGCCATGGACACCCCTGCCCATCATGGCCCGGCCGCCTCCACCACCGTCATGGCTCCTAGACCGCCCTGCCGCCGTTTCCACCGCTTGGCAGGCCTTCCTCCCCCCAAACCCTTTTTTCTTCTAAGCCCGCTGGAGTTGGGGAAGAAGGGAGTGTGGCCGGCGGGCATGTGGCCATCGAGCGCAGGTGTGGGCATTGTGGTGGGAAAGAAGAACAGTGCACTTGTGGAACCCACCACGTGCAACGTGCTTAGAAGTGGTGTTGCGGTGAGGTGGGCGTGCGGTGGCCGAAAAAACGGCTCGACGTTTTGAAGTCATTACCTTTTCATAATTTATCTCTTTTATCTGGTAGATGTTACTATCATTCTCTATAAATTTGGTTAAAGTTAGAATGATTTGACTTATGATAACTAAAAATCAATTATATTTTAGGATCAAACGAGTAGACATTAACTAGGCCCGTTTGGATCTCCTAAAGATTGATATAATCAAGATTCTATATAGTGATTAAACGATATGGTTTCTATCGGGTTCATAAACCCGGGTCCCTCGCGGATCGGCTTCCCAACAAGGGCTCGGCCCAAGCGGACAACGCACAACTCATGGGCCGGCCCAAGTACCTAAACGACAGGCCAAATGGGCGATCCAATCTCCGACCGGAAGGCCTGGCTGAGGAGGAACGACACCGCTTCCGACTCCGGCCCGCCTCTCTGACCGGAGCGCTCGCCTCGGTCTCCAGCCCGCCTCCGGACGGCCTCTCCGACCGGAAGTCCTGACTAAAACACCGCTTTTGACTCCGACCTGCGTCTCCGACCGGGGATGCGCCAAACCCCTGCTCACTGCTCTTCTCCGACTGGCGCAATGAAGAGCCGACTGAGACCAACCGACCGGGGACCCCCGCTCGGTAAGAACCAGGGAACGGACGAAGAAAGTAAGGCGGGCGCACAAGTTAAACCGTAATACTAGGGACCGTACCCTGTGCACCTGTCAAACAGTACCCTGCGACCCTCCTGACACGACAGAACTCAAGCAGTGTTGTAGGCGCCGATATTTTCTCCTACAGTGTTGTGGGCGCCATTAACTCCCATACCAGACAAATACGGTAAGACTCCCCCATATGCCTCTGGGCATCGACAGTATTGTGGGCGCCGGCATTTACCGTATCAGGGGAACATGGTAAAACCCCTTGCATGCCTCCGGGTATCAACAGTGTGGTAGGCACCGACGTCTGCCATACCCGAAGAAGACAACACAACCTCCCACGTGCATCTGACATTCAACAGTATTATGGACGCGTCTACCATCATCCTGTACCCGCCGGCATGGGCAACAAGACTTAATAGCATACATTCTCTCTCCCTCTCACTTGTAAGGCCATCCCCTTCATCTATAAAAGGGGATGCGCTCTCTCCAACACAACCAGATAGATTCATTCAGATCGATCAAGTTCACATAGCACATAGCGGAGCTCCCGTCACTCTCAGCCCCGCTGATCGGAGTCCGACCGGACCTCTTGTACACCCCATCTGCAAACTTCGAGCATTTGGGCTCAGAAATAAAGTCACCGACCGACTTAAACTGGACGTAGGGCACGTTGCCTGAACCAGTATAAACCCTGTGTCATTGAGTGCTAGGCCACCTCCGATCACAATGTACGATAAAACTATAAATATTTACGTGTTGGTCACTTTCTGCACCGACAGTTTCTGGGTAAATAAAATGAGCCATGTTTGCATCGATGGCTGAAGGTGTTTAACACACATTATCGTCAAATATTAGGGCAGAGGTGAATAGTTGAATTCTCTATATGCAAAAGTGTCATAGATTGCACCATACTAAGGCTCCGTTTGGATGGCCGAAACGTTTTCTGATCAAAATCCAAAGAAATGGCGCCAAACGCATAGGGGTGAAATGATTCTTGGCCGGATCATTTCATATCAGTCCCATACCTTTTACTTAGGATGTGCGGAACGGCTCCCCACTGGTTTTGCAAGATTCAGTTTCTAGTCTCGCATGTACACTAATGGCTGTATTTTTTCTAATTATCCTTTTTAAGTGCAATAATTAAAATGGCATGTATTTAAATTTTTCTTCACCTAAAAACAGTTCTATTTTTTTGAAACATATTTTTATTTATATGATTTTTTATAAAGTATATTTCATTTTATTTTTAATCAGAATCCAGCCTACCAACCAAACGATTTCATAAAATTGTTCTGATTCATCGTCTGAAATATTTCTTAAGAGAATCTAGATCTAAAATGTTTCTATGAGAATCTAGATCCCTATGAACACACCCTAAATGATATGTAAATTGTCCTATTCATAGCAAAGGGACTGCCTGTGCCTAGAATGGTGGTGATATCCCCCAAAGAGGTAACAATACGCCATCATCCTTAAGCCACCTCCAACATTTGAGTCAAATTGCTACCTTGTACTGGACATACTATTGTCACATCATCTAAAAGAATCATAAGTCATTTTGTTTTTTTTGGTACATAGCTTTTACTATGTATCTAGTAGCACAAGCTATGTATCTAGAAAATCCAAAACAACTTATAATTTGGAACGTAATGAGTAACACATCAAAGCATGAGCTATATATATTAAGTGGCCTTTACTTGTTGTAATGTCTCTATAATGTTGAGCCCTAAATTGGTTTATATACAGCTCACCGTAGCAATTGTTTGTCCTCCTCTTCCCAGATCTTGCTGCACGGCGTCCATCCTCTTCTTCATCAACCGTGATGCAATGAATCAATGTTGGATTTAGAGATGGATTAGGAGAATACGCGGGGCGGAGAAGGTGCACGTGCGAAGGTGAAGAAGCGGTAGTGCCCAGCCCTTCGCCATGTAGTGGTGTCCACTACCCTGGCCAATGATGTCGCCGACTTCCATCCCAGCTTTTGTGATATCCGATCCAGTTTGGATTTAGCACATACTGACCTCTGTGTATATTGATGTGAGATTGTGGGGTGGGGGGGTTAATCCCACCTTGATTGTTGAAGGTGGGTTAGACCAACATATAGAAGCTACTTTTTTCGTCTGTCCACCACTAGTTCATTTTAGATAATCACTTAACAGAATTAAAAAATAATCATTTATCAGTACAAACTGATTGTTAGAGCTCCTTCCGAATTTAGCTTGAAAGCTGCTCTAGAAGCTCTATGCCTCTGTTAAATAAGCCTTAAACTAGGAGCTAAATAAGGTCCTATTTGGATCCTCTTAGCTAAAGTTTAGCTCAGGGCTAAAGATTAGCCCTTTAAATGAAGGGGCTAAAGTGCATGACTGTCGATAGAATATCGTTGGCAGTCCTCCGAGGGGTATCCCACGAAGGTAGATTGATCGACAGAGAGGCGTGTAATCAAGAATAAGAAGGCAACAGAGACACACGAGTTAGACAGGTTCAGGCCGTCAGTATGACATAATACCCTACCCCTGTGGTCTGTTGGATTGTATTGGCTATCATATGATATTGCGTGTGTTTGGAGGGGGTCCCTACCCGCCTTATATAGTTTTGGGGACAGGGTTACAAGTCGGTTAGATCTAGGAGATAACCGGAAAGTAATAACATATTACAGGAATCATGGGATCATACGTATCCTAACAGATCTCGTAATATCTTCAGGATATCTTCCCGGTGTCTTGCGAGAGGCATCGAGCAGCGTCGTGCCCCACAAGGCTTCGTCTTGTGGGCTAGGCCGCCCCTGGGGGCGTAGCCCATGTGGTCTGCCATGGGTATACAGGGTCATACCCCCACAGCTAGTCCCCGAGCACCTTGTACCTGTTGTGCAACACCGTCTTGAGCTTGTCCGAGCAGGTGCGAACAAAGCCGAGCAGTCAAACTCATGGTCCAACCACCGTGATGAGTTGCCGAGCAGTGTAACCCAAGTACGGCTTGCCATAAGGGTGTAAGGAGCTCAAGTTTAGAATATTTTTTTGCAGTGGACCAAGTATGCCCACTTAGAGTCCGACCATGAGAAAGGGAGATAGTCTTCTTCAGCTTCAAGAGGCGCGGAGTCTTCCAAAATAAAGCAAACACACTCACCACGAGGTGAAGTGTGCCCACTTAGTCCCCGAGCCTGACAGTAGATGACATAGTCATGTGGTGCCAGGGTCCAAAGTAGAAGACCAGCCGAGCAGGCAGCCAGTCCCTGGGCGTAGCCCCAAAATGAGAAAAAACACATCCACCGCAAGGTGAAGTGTGCCCACTTAGTCCCCGAGCCTGACAATAGGTGACATGGTCACGTGGTGCCAGGGTCAGAAACAACAGTCAATAGAAGAAAATCCCCAATGCAATGAGGAACCAAGACGTAATGCTGACGTAGTCCCCGAGCCACAAGAGGAAGTCTTGGAGAAAACAAATCATGGAGAAAATACCGGAGTAGTGGTTGTACAGTAGTAATTACTGAGAAACAACGGTTGGCGGAGAAGGCAGCAAATATTCGACGAGCCATAACAAATTACGGAGATAAATGGGCGA